TGTTCTTAGGAAGGGCGTGAAATTACACGCTTACACCTTCTGCATTTACATCTTCTGTTCAAATTTGATGGTATTTGAGCTGTCTTACTTAGTATCTTTACGAATCTTATGCGTTTTATGATGAGATAACCTGAATTAGATTTTTGAAACGCGCTGAAGTTCAACGAGCTATAATTAGGGCTGATCTCTTAGTAATGTATCATCCCAGGTCTTCCCCAGTCGTAAAGAGCCAAAGTAAGGTAATAAAAAATATCGCAACACACAAAATAGCTGTAAGGCTGCTGGTCCGGTTGGAAGGACGTGTCTTGTGTTCACAGGTTATGTTTAACAATCAATCAAAGCCTTACATCAATAGTTAATTTCACACAAAATGTTGTCGGAGATTAACTGTTGTGCGCATCATTAATATTACTCTTCGGTTAGTTTTGTTTCCTTTGTTTTCGACTTAAGCAAACTTGCTTTCTTCTCCGCGTGATATGAAATTACAGAGTTATTACGTGTAAGCTATTTCTGTCCGTATAACTAAATAATTAGCTGAAAGTCCATCAGCCACTGTAAAAGCTGACAGCATATTAGGTGTACCTGGGCACTATTCCTTTCAACACTTTGACGCGGCAGCCTTTCTTCTGGATGATGAGCGTTGAATGCTGTCGCGTAATGCCGCACATCAGTGGCGCATTCTGCCAAAAGACAACTATATGAGAGAAGGGGAAACTCACACTCATCATGTCAAGGCTCATTATTATCATTGCGGTAAACGCAGCCAATTATACACAACTTCATAATGTCCAGCTTGTCATGGGTGATTGTGGACTTCTTACCGCCCATTTGGAGTGTTATTACTTGCAGAATATTTGTACAATATGGGTAAGAAGGGATATCCAAAAGCCATTTGTGTCTAATAAATGCGAAACAGCTACTAGATCTTTGTTCGCTGAGTCTATAAAGCTACAGCACAGTGGGTAAGGTGGAATTACAATAGACAACATACGAAGGTAAATAAAGGTCAGTAGAGTGCGAATGCGTCGAATTTTAATCCAGGACTATGTTATCAAGTTGCCGCGAAAGCCGCCAGGCATCAGGATTGGTGTTGGCGGTGATTTAGGTGCCGGAATAAGGAAGGGAAGGGAACGGGATGTGGGAATGCGTGTGGAGGTGGTTGTGGCGATCGCGATGATTGTGATGTTTGAGCCAACGGTGTGAAGAGAAGAAAGTGGGCTTTGGGCTGGGTTGTGCGGTTTCCGTGTTTTCGGCGCTCTCACTGGAAGGCATCAATGAAGGGTTGAGGCGATGCGGATGTGCCCTGGTGGTAAGTGGGTGGCGTGCAAATGAATCCATGTAATCGAAATGTCCTACATCCTTTCTACAAAGCACTACACGTTCCTGTTCACCTCCGCCGTTCCATCCACCACTAGCACAGTTGCTGCGCAGGAACAACAACACAGACGGACATGGCTGCAAATTATACTCAGAAATATTCAACGTGTAGAATGAAAATCTGCTGCCATGACCACCTGCCCAA